AAAAAAAAAAAAAAACCACAAAAAGCCCAGATATACTCCAATTTCAGAGCAACTAAAATGTGAAAAAAATGCACCCTACAGTTAGCTATGGCATCAGGCATATCGGCAAGTTTCTATATAAATCCTCCAAACCATCCAGGGACTTGGCTCTGGGTTCCCATTTTTGAAAGTTCACAAGTTACCCAAGATTGTCCATCTAATGAGTGCCTAGACCACGATTCAGTGCCACTGACTATGAAAGATAATTCCATTTCTCCCTCACAACAATTGAGACTGGGCGGTGGCAGGGGTGTCAGTACGTTAAACATCCAACTCTTGATTTTGGCTCAGATCATGATCTCATGGCTCATGAGTTTGAGCCCAGCATTGGGCTCTTTGCTGGCAGCACAGAGCCTGCTTAGGATTCTCTCCCCCAGTGTCTCTGCCTGCCCCCATGCTCTCTCTCAAAATAAATGAAAACTTAAGTTAAATAGCGCCATGCCAAATACTAAAATGGCCAGTATCAGTGTGCTTTGCTGTATAATACCTTGAGGGTAATCCAAATATGATCAAAATAAAATCAAGCAAGGAAAAGAAATGTCCAGTCTAAATTTGTTATCACTAGTTTTCTCTAGTTTTGGTCAATTCTTTGTTCAATAGCTAACACAAGCTTCATGCAAGGGACTCAACTATGGGAAAGAGCATACCTCTGATGAAATCTTTGTGTAAAGAAAACAAGTTTGAGGCTTCTACTTCAATTTACGGATTCTCATTGAATGTATTTACTTTATATAAACATTGAAGAAATACTTCTTCTAGGCTATGGTTCTGTAACTAATTACCCTTATTAAGGTATACATTTAATATCTCATGGAGTTCAAAATAATATGCAGGGTTTATTAAAATACAGGACAGTAACAGAAGTCAGAAGAGGAAATGGGAGGTAAGTTATTCTCAATCCAAAAAAATGGGAGGGAAGTTCTCTCTCTCTTCAAAAAAACATTAAAGAGTCAAGTTGCCAATCATTTCTAATTCAAAGCGGACTACTGCCAAGGCCTGTTTCCTTGCAACATCTAAAACCTGGGTCTTTGAGGCCGGGGCCAAGAAATTTTAGTGTGCTGGAAGGTAAGAAAATTCTGTATGATCATAGGCAGAAATGGTAACAGCTATTCAGAAACGATATATTTTACAGCACATTCAAATACAGCATAAACAATCTGAACTTAGGGGCGCCTGGGTGGCTCAGTCGGTTAAGCGGCCGACTTGACTCCGGTCATTAAACCCTTGTCGGGCTCTGCTGACTGCTCAAACCCCTGCTGTTTCAGATTCTGTGTCTCCCTCTCTCTCTTCCCCTCCCCCGTTCATGCTCTGTCTCTGTCTCAAAAATAAATGTTGAAAAAAAAAAAAAAAAAGAAAAATCTGAACTTAAACTCTTGTGTGATCAAAGAAAACCTCTTAAAAGGTGTTTTTAAGCAAACACCAATGAGAACTAAGCAAAGATTTTAACAAAGCTAAGGTCTAAAAGTTTTCCAATGTTCTTTTAATATATTTAAACTCTTACCATTTACTGCCCTGGAAAAAAGTTTTATGCAGGATTGTATTCCATTGAAATGATAGTTTTGCCAAAGCCTATAAAAATTAAGAGTACAGCAATTACACAATATTGCTGACTCTGCATGAACATGAGGCACTTCAAACGTTTACCTTTTGGTTTAAGTTTATAGATGGTTAGATTCAATCCTCTGGAAACAGGTTCACCCAGGCCACTTTTCTGTTTCTATTCCCCTAGTTGTTGCCCTTTCATGTTTTACAGGACATCTACACATTGTCCTCTTTCTTCCCTTTCTTAAAGGGATACATGGCAACTTTCGGAAGTGTTAGATTTTACAAGAATACAATTAAGGCTATCCGCAAGCTTCTTACACTTGGGTTCTCATTCTCTCTTACCCCTTAACTCCAGAAACCCTAGAGATAATATTTGTAAACCAACAAGTGTCAAACTTCACTTAATAATGTTACCTAAAATGTAAAACACGTAATAAAACCACTTTCATTAATACAGGAATAATCTTGAGCCAATAAAGGGAGAGAATAAATGTAAACCAAGTTTATTTTGCTTTTTAAGTAGTGTTCTTAAAGCACTACAGCTTGGTAAACAATGTAAATTAGTATAAGTCATCTCAAAAGCCAGAGTTTTGTTTTGTTTGTTTTTTAATGAGTTGTTAAAAAGATGCAGCCTATTCTAACAGGATAAATATTTTTAACCATTTCACTTCGAGTTAATGAAGGCTCACAAATGAGCAACACTCCTCATTGAGGAAAACAAAAAGCTGTTGTCGACAAGCGACAGCACACACACACAAAAACAAAAAGAACTGTGTAAAAATAACTAACTGTGTTCCCATATTTTTTGAAGTCGCTTTACAATGGGATGATATGCACATGATCTTGCTGCAAACTTGCCATACAGACTTGTAATACATGTAGTCTAGACAAACGATTCAGTCCAAGAGGTGCTAACTTCAGACAATGCAGCACTATAATCCTTTTAACAACGCAATTTGTTTTACTCATTATCTTTTCTTCTAGGCTGAAATACAGGCTAGAAAGAAAATGCTCCCTAATTAAAAATTGGTACTGTTTACAGGAAAATTGTGTAATTTTGCATTAGAATTTACAAGTATATGTTCAAATTGAATTTACCTCCTCCCCCCATCCCAGCCACAACATGGGCATGAAGTAAAATTTTTAAAAATGCCTTAATTTTTAACTTCATGCAAACTAAATAAAGATGACCAAAACAAAAGCTTAAACAATGGAAGGATATTTCACAGAAAATTTCTTATACAAAAAACACATAAGAAAAAGGGCCACTAGGTGACATTTTAATTTACAAATTGGCATCATTTTGGTCGACAAATATCCAGATGCTGTTGTTTTCTTCTGCTAACAAGTGTTGCAGAGAGGGAAAAAAACAAAAACCAAAAAACAAAAACAAAACAAAAAAAAAACCCAAAAAAACAAAAACAAAAACAAAAAAACCCCAAAAAACCCAGCATCACTTCGGATTTTAATCACACATTTCTTCTGGAATTTCATGTGGATTAAGGATGCCAGGAACAGACATTTGAAGTTTATGTTTCTCTTCCTGAGCCTGTCGAAGGGCTGTTTCTCTTTCTTCCAAAAACAGATCAGATGTATCTTCACCTGCAAACTCCTGTGAAAACAAGATAGTTGAGCTGTCAAAAAAACCAAACTTCAATTTTGGAAAAAGACCTGCTTTGGAAAAAAAAAAAGCATAGACAAGCACCTTCTTTTGCTTACAGAAGAATAGAATTTATCCTTCCATTGGTTGAATTTCTTTCTTTTTTTTTTTTCATTTATTTTGGGGGTGGGGGAGAGAATGCGTGTGCATGGTACACATAAGAGCAGGAGAAGGGTACAGAAAGAGGGAGAGAATCCCAAGCAAGCTCCGCACTGTCAACATAGAGCCTGACACGGGGCTTGATCCCACGAACTGTGAGATCATGATCTGAGCTGAAATCAATGAATTAGAGGCTTAACCGACTGAACCACCCAGGTGCCCCCACTGGCTGGGTTTAATTTATGGTATATTTATACAATTCTGTGTAGCTAAATAAAAGCCAAGGGTGGCAGTTCTGGGGATTAAAAAAAGGTTATGTAAGAAGAGGCATGTCTGATATCATATATAGAATATGCTTCATAAACAAAGATTTAAAAACCTGTTTCATGGGGCACCTGGGTGGCTCAGTCTTGGTTAAGCATCTAACTCTTATTTTGGCTCAAGTCATGATCTCACAGTTTGCGGTGAGTTTAAGCCCCGTGTCAGGTTCTGTGCAGACAGTGTAAAGCCTGCCTGGTATTCTCCCTCCCCCCCTCCCTCTTTCTCTCAAAATAAATGAATAATTTAAAAAAAATTACCTAATTTGTCAGAATTCCCTAAAATGGACTCCCAACTAACCAAATGGGTATAAATCCCCAAAGGGACTGCTAATATATTTCTTCCCCCATTTTCCACAATTTAAAAATCATCTGTAGGATATATTCACAATATTGCAACAGACCTTTATATCATCTAAAATGAATTATGTAACATATTTCCAAAAACATTTTAAACCCATTCTCTTGTCAACTATGTTTTATAGTTATTCACTGTGAATCAGTCTCAAACTAGGTAAACCTGAGTATTATTCAAAAAGTCCATTTTGCTTCACAAAAAAGTGGTTAATTCCACAAAGCAACAACTAATCATATTCAGTCTTAATACTTCTGCCAAGTGCAAAGAAAATACGTACCTTTATTTGTACTAGGAAATCCCTAAGATGTTCCTTGAAAGCAGGAATATCCTGATTTAAGCTGAAAAGCCCTGTCACAAAGAGCTTTACTTGAGCACTGCAAACCAAAACACAACAATTAAATAATCACTATTTTTAAAATGAAAAATGTATGCGTATTAAAAAGCATATTTAGGGGCGCCTGGGTGGCTAAGTTGGTTAAGCGTCCGACTTCAGCTCAGGTCACGATCTTGCGGTCTGTGAGTTTGAGCCCCCATTGGCGACTCTGGGCTGATAATACAGAGCCTGGAGCCCTCTTCTGGTTCTGTGTCCTCCCTCTCTCTCTAGCCCCTCCCGTCCATACATCTCTCTCTGTCTCAAAATAAATGAAGCGTTAAAAAAAATTTAATTTTTTTAAAAGCATACTTTAGCAGGAGCGGGTAGGCTCATCAGTTACAAGTGGCCGACTTCGGCTCGGGTCATGATCTTGCAGTCCGTGAGTTCGAGCCTCGTGTCGGGCTCTGTGCTGACAGCTCAGAGCCTGGAGCCTGTTTCGGATTCTGTGTCTCCCTCTCTCTGACCCTCCCCCATTCATGCTCTCTCTCTGTCTCAAAAATAAATAAATGTTTAAAAAAAAAAAAAAAAGCATATTTATTGGGGCGCCTGGGTGGCTCAGTTGGTTGAGCGCCCGACTTGGGCTCAGGTCATGATCTCACAATCCGTGAGTTCTAGCCCTGTGTCAGGTTCTGTGCCGACAGCTCGGAGCCTGGAGCCTGCTTTGGATTCTGTGTCTCCCTCTCTCTCTGCCCCTCCCCTCCTCGTGCTGTCTCAAAAATAAATAAAAACATTAAAAATAAATTAAAAAAAAAAAAAGCATACTTACTCTTGTAGATGAGGGAATGCAGATTTAAGGAGATTTGCCACATATTCCTGAATGAACATTTGGTTGTTAACCGGATTTCCAGGATTTAACGGCGTACTTATTTTTCCTTCTTCAACCAAATTAAACATATATGCAAGTATTGATGCATGCATTGTCAAGCCTGTTGATAAAAAGAACATTATGAACTCCATCATGTAATAGCAATGGAAACCCTTAACATTTTCATGGCTTTATGTGCTTACCAGCAGTATGTGAGGTGTCTGTCACAACAGAAAAGATATGCTGAAGAATATCACAAAAATACGTTTGATAGAAACTCTGAGCTGCAGCTTCTTCTTGTGCAACATTTTGTAAGAGTGTAAAAAGTATCTGTAAGCCTGAAATGTATAGAACACCAAAAAAGTCAATTCTCTCCCTATCAACTCTAAAAACAGCATTACCAAGTACATATCTATCACAGAAACCAATTACTGTTTAAAAACAAAATAGGGGCACCCAGGTGGCTTAATCAGTTGAACATTCGACTCTTGATTTTCAGCTCAAGTCATAATCCAAGAATTGTGGGATGGAGCACAGTGTTGGGCTCCACACTGAGCACGGAGCCTGCTCAGGATGACAGCTTTCTTTCCCTCTCCTCAATTTGCACCCTCTCTCTAAAATAAAAATAAGTAGGATAAACCACGACATCTCTAGCAGGAGATGCAAATTTCCTACTAAAGATGTCGTGGTTTATCCTTATTTTGACCCTTAGTGGAACAGAGGCAAAGCATATGAGGGAAAAGGAAACAAACAGTGGATAAGAGAGGTTCCTCTACTTTGAATTTTACGCCCATTTCCCCATAATTCAATCCTGCCTATGGACTCACTATGGAAGAGATAATTAAACTGCTTTTAGGACGTTCTTAAACCTATATATACAACTGATGCACTCAAACAAATCCCTGATAACAAGTGCTAGCTACCTAGCTACAAATACAGCCCTACCTGTAAGAGTCTATAGGTTATGTATTGGTAGGGCAAATGAATAAAAGGACCTAATTTCTATGTATTTACCTGTATCTGCAACATTCCTCATAGTGTGTTTGAAAGCCCAAATAATGGAGTCCAAAACAAGTTTAAATTGTGCAGGTGGTATAGCCAGAAATGCTGGGAAACAATGAGAATTGACAGCCTGAAGTAGCAAGAAGAAGTTTGTTCTGTGTTCAGGATACTCCTCAAAGTCCTAGAAATAAATGGTGAGAACAAAGTTTCAATGCCTTAATTATGTTAAATAAGACAGAAGAAGTAAACACTAATTTATTACAAAAGTTTGGAGTTGTTAGGGGCCCCCTGGTGGTTTAGTCAGTTAAACGTCCAACTCCGGTGTCAGGCTCCACCCTGACAGTGCAGGGCTGGCTTGGGATTCTCTTTGTCCCTCTACCTGTCTGCCCCTCCCATGCTAGCTAGCATGTGCATGCTCTCTCTCTCAAAGTAAACAAAACAAAAAAACCCACATAAAGAACATCACATTTTCTAGTAACTCCGAGTATTACTACCACTTTATGATAGGGACTTTGAGACTGCTAGTAGAGATTTGAAATTTTACCTACTGTGTAAATTCAGACTTACATCTACATTTTTCCTTCTTGCTTAATATATTTTCCCATTTCTTATAAGCATAAATGCTAGCTGCTATTTGAATGTTACATACAGCCTATCAAATTTACCCCTATTTGGCTGTTAAGATCTCTTTTAACAGAAAAAATTTTTAAAAAGTATTTCCCTTGTCTGCAAGTTCAAATATTTAACTCCAGATTTTAAAACTTATACTATTCTCATAAGTATCATTTATGCTTTCAAGAATTGCAAGGATACATACTGCAAAATTCCTCATTACAACTGTAAGGTAAACCACATACCTTATTTATCATATTCAATGTGCATTCAAAAACAGCATCAAATATTTGAGGTATTTCAGCTGTTATATGTCCTCCTAACTTATTGACAATAATAGCCATAGTACTAAGCACTTCTGGTTCTCTAGCAGCGGGGACATTTCTCTGATAATCAATGAGAACTGCATCCAATAGAGGAGGAACAAAATTTTCGGCTACCTGTTAAAAAAAAAAAAGTTGTATTCTATGTGTATTTGCTAACTAATATAGTTAGATGGGTGTTGTACTGACATTTAAGTTAAGTATCTGCTTAAGACTGGAAAACTGCACAATTTAATTTGGTTTTGGAGGGGCGCCTGGGTGGTGCAGTCGGTTAAGCGTCCGACTTCAGCCAGGTCACGATCTCGCGGTCCGTGAGTTCGAGCCCCGCGTCGGGCTCTGGGCTGATGGCTCAGAGCCTGGAGCCTGCTTCCGATTCTGTGTCTCCCTCTCTCTCTCTGCCCCTCCCCCGTTCATGCTCTGTCTCTCTCTGTCCCAAAAATAAATAAACGTCAAAAAAAAAAAAAAAAAAATTTGGTTTTGGAGACTAAAACTTTTTTTAGCAAAAGAAACCAAGAAATTGTAATAGGCTGGGAAGAGCCAACAACCTATTGTAGAGTACAAGTTTGTCATTACCAAGGCAACTGCAGCCCCATATCAAGCAAGTGGCTCCATGTTACTATGATAGGACCAGGATTCTATGTGAGATAACTTAGCTAAACGGCAAGAAAATTCCTCCTAACCAATACTACCAGTTTCGTCAATGCATAGTATCTGTAAAAACCATGCAGGCTCATATATAATAAAAAATAGACACCCATTCAATGATTTTTTTTTAACTTAATGAATACTAACTGGTAAGTATCTTAATGAACAAAAATAATAACCATCCCTTACACTTGTAAAAGGAATTGGAACTGTACCAGAAAGACCATGGGTTTCCATGAGTCTCAATAAACAGGATCTTAAGGTGTAACTTACATGCTTTTAATAGTTTCTTTACTAAGACATGGACATTAAATACAAGCAATGTTTCTTGTAACTGAAGATTACCAGTGTTAGTTGTGTCCTACCATACAAAACAGATCTAGTAAAAATTTAAGATAAGCACATTATTTTTCCAATAAGCTACTTGTTCTTAGACCAGAACTGGTTTCTCATTTTACTCTCAACACTGTAATAATTCTTTTCCCACAAACTGAATCTTCAGTGTGTTTTTCAGTATTTTATCGTGAGAACTGCACAGTTTTCTGAACAAATTTCCTGAAAATATGTTAAGGAACAACACTGAAATTTCAACATTATGAAAGTAAACAGCACATGTGTCAACCAGTGTTTCCACGTAGCAATGATGAACAGAAAAGGATTTTTTGCAATGTTCCAAGGAAAGAGAATGAAATGATAGAATAAATAAAGAATACACATTTAAAAAAAAAATGAACTTTTTCCCAAGTTGAGGCATATAGACCCTGGTTTAATTTCTGAGAACCAATTAAAACCAAAAGAAGTGGGGAGCCTGGGTAGCAGAGCTGGTTAAGCATGCAACTCTTGATCTCGGCTCAGGTCATGGTCTTGTTCTTGAGCACCAAGTCCAGCTCTGCGTTCACAGTGTGGAGCCTGCTTGGGATTCTCTCTCTGTCCCTTGCCTGCACGCACACACTCTCTCTCAAAATAAATAAATAAACAAAACAAAAAACCTAAAAGAAGAGATTTTTAATCCCTCTAACTGGGAAAGCGCTTACTCTCACTGCAGAGGCAAACTAATGAGAGCTTTGTAAATTGCTCTGAAAAATCCCAAAAGAACACAAAAAATTTTACCCTATCCGTAGAAAAATGAAATGGCTTGAGCTACCTTGTTACATATCACCACTGTCCCCCACTAAGAGCAATTTCTTAGGAACATGGTATATATTAACTAATATTTTAAAGTATTTGAGGACTAAAAAAATAGGACACTAAAATAATCCCCCCCAATATGTGCATCGAAATTACCTTTAATTGGGCAATATGCATATATAGGAAAATACAACATCCACTTAAACAAAAAGTGTAACGTTTCACTTACCATCTGTGGATCATTGGACCGGCTCACCCAACCAGATATTAACTTTAAAGTTTCCCTTTTTACAGTTCGCATACTTCTAATCAACGGTTGCTTTGTAACCATCTCACCTAAAAAATACAATCCAGTGGAATCCAACTTGACAACTAAAATTCTACATCAGTAGTTTAAGACACTATTAGCTCCCATTTACCACACAAAAACTTAAAGACAGAGGCACAGAAATAAATGTACCGGGAAAACAAAATTAGACTAATTTTACAAGGGAAAGGGAATTCAACTGGTTAAAAATAATTGTCTGGGGTCATGTGGGACATTGGGAGAGTTAAATTAAATCTGTGAGGAATGAATGTTTAAAGAACTGACTGGTCATACACCACTCCACAAAAGTTCAGAGTCACTTACCATTAGCTTGGATAGCTGCTGAAATATTTTCACTGAGGCACTTGTATACATTAAGCATATCTAAATAAATTCTCCCAAGCTGAATTACAAAGGGGTGTCCGACAGCTTTGCAGGCTCTAACATTTGTTTTCAATATGCTACCGAGCTGCTTGACTGTTTCAGGATCTTTAAGTATATCCACATTCTGTGAAGGACAAGTAACAAAATTTCATTTATCACATGAAATTTACCTTTGTAATTACTAAAGGAAAAAACACTACCTACACCTTACTCCAAACCACCCGCACATTTATAATCTGAGAGTAAAACAAATACAAAAATCTTTATTGCCTATGTCTACAAGTAAGAATAGAAAGTGTCCCACTAAACCATCAAAACAGAGTAAGATTATAGTGTTAATTCTTTTTAATGTGCAAAAATGCAGAAACCATTCATGGATAACGAATACACATCCAAGGTACTGAATTCATTACTTTTTGTAAATAACATGTCTTGCATTCCGTTAGAACTTTGAAAAAAAGTAGTAAAACTTACTTTGGTTGCCTGCTGGATTATGCTATCCCAAACCTGATTAGGAAGTAGCATATATTTTTCTATTAAATGTTCTTGCACTGTTTGGTCTGTTTGTGCACCAATCATGTACCCCACAGCTTCATAAAATGTATGGACCTATGTAAAAAGGCAGACATTTTACTTAAGAAAAAAAAAAAGTTCATTTATTTGCGGGGGAGGCAGGGAGGAGACTGAGACAGAGAGAGCACATGCACGGGAGAAGGGGAGGGGCAGAGAGAGAAAACCTCAAGCAGGTTACACTCTGTCAGCACAGACACTGACATGGGGCTCGAAGCCATGAACCACAAGATCATGACCTGAGCAGAAATCTAGAGTCAGATGCTTAACCAGATGAGCCACTCATGCGCCCCCAGATATTTTACTTTAATGCATCATAAGGAAAGCAATTCATGTTTGTAGTGGAACTCATTTTATGAGTGTGAGAAATAACTTGCATCAGGTAGACAAATAGCCTAACAAACTTCTGGTTAAATTTTTGTCTCATTATGAACATTTAATGGGTGGAGGGATAGGTGAAATAGGGAGGAGGATTAACACGTGTACTTATGATGGGTCCTGAGTGATGTATGGAACTCTCTATTCCCATTAAATGCATTCCGATTAAAACAGTAGTCATTTTCTAAGAGAGATATACTCAGAGCTCTACATACCTGTTGAGGCTGAAGATCACAAATTATGGTGTTGATATTGTTCAAAATTTCATCAATAAATGGCATTACTTCTCCAACCTGAACCTGAACAAAATGCCTGCGGCATTTTTGAGCTATTTTAATGAAAGTATCACAAGCCATATCTTGGACTCCGTCATGCGTCTCTAAACAAAACAAAAACATTTATCATAAGATTTTCAAGAAAAAATGTTTTTGTTCAAGAAGCATAGAATAACTAAGTAATATATATTAAAGAGGATTTACCATGCATGAATTCAAACAACTTGTTAACTACAGTCTTCAGAAATTTCCAGTGAGCTCTTAAAAATCTTGGATATTGACCTACTATGTACATGATATTTGAAGCGATAATAGCTTTATTATCTTTGCCTCTTTTCTGTTCACATAATCCTAAAAGATCCTGCAAAACAAGAGAAATTTCAGTCATTTAGAATAAAATACAGTGACCTAAAGGTTCCAGTTGCTACCACTTGCATACCTTTATAACAGTAACAAGAAATCGTTTTTCATCCTCTTCATGCATTGCTCCACTAATGGAGCCTATTGCCCAACACAATGTATTCAAATTTTTCCATGACCACTCTGTACCATTCACTTGATTGTGAAGCTTCTCAGTCATTATTCTTTCTGTATCTACATAATCCAGGTGAGTGAGATAAACTATAAAGGAAGGGAAAAGGTTTCAAAACGTCAAATAGCAAAACTCTATGAATAGAAATATTAACTAAGAAATAACAGCACATTAATAAAGATGGTTGTTGACAAATTCAGAAAACTATACATTTCCTAGTATTTTCACCCCAAGAGAATTCCAAAGATGAAGATTAAATTGACAGCATTTATTAACTTACCTAATGTTTCTCTCATATTCTTATACAAATTAATGGAATCTGTATCCTTCATGAATTCTCTTACAACTTCTCCCTGATCATTTTCTACAACCAATACTTCCTCTGGTTTAGCCATACGACTAACCATTAATAAACGGACCTATTCAACAAATACACAAGAAAAACCTGTTACCTCTATGAAATCAGCCACATCCAGCATAGGAAAAAAAATTAAAAATAAGCACTTTATACTTAGACCAACATACCTCCCAAAATTGTTCTCACAATATAAAATATAGACATTTAGAAAATAGAATTCTACAGTAAGTTTTCTAATGTTATTTATCATGAATAAACATCTACTGGTAAGTTTCCTGTGGCTCATCTAGAGATTGATTCAGTAGATTGGTAAGTGATCTCTTAACTTGCATTTCTTTTTTTTTTAACTTTTAATGTTTATTTTTGAGAGACAGACAGACAGTGCGAGCAGGGGAGGGGCCGAGAGACAGGGGGAGACAGCATCTGAAGCAGGCTCCAGGCCGTTAGCACAGGACCTGATGCGGGGCTTGAACTCACAAAAGGTGAGATCACGACCTGAGCCTGAGCCAAAGCCAAAGTAGGCCGCTCAACCCACTGAGCCACCCAGGCACCTCTTAATCCGCATTTCTAACAAACTCACTGGTGGTGCTGATGCAGTATACTCGTAAGGCCACACTACTGAAAACCAAAGCTCTTAAACCAATCCCTTTCAATGGTCTAGTTTTGAACAGGCATGAAAAAGTTGGATTCAATTTTTGCAACTCTTTTATTTGGATAGATCATAAAAGCCAAAATAAAATAAAACCCACCATTTGCATTTAGTCTTCAAAATCACAGCAAGGAACAGGAAGAGTGAGCAATCAACCACCCAATTGAGTTACCTTGGATAACACGGGCAAATACAGCTGTCTCCTGGGAGGAACATCAAAATGTTGGCTTCCAGATAGCAACGGAGAAGCAGATGTAGAGAATGGGCTCTCTCTATAGAGTTCAGCTGCTAAATGATTCCAGTACTCAAGACAAATCTTAAAGATTTCAGTTTCCTCCACTTCTGATACCAACAACATATAATGAAGGGCCTACAAAGAAGACCAAAACTATCAAAATAATCCTTAGACATTATTATCCTGCCACAAATTGCCTTCCACTCGTTACATTAACAGGAAATAAAAATTCATGCTTCATTTTACACAACTCTGTTTCATCATTCATCTAACACACTACAGATATTCTGTAGGAACAAATTGTGCTTTCTTCATCCCTTTTTTTAAATGTTTATTTTTGAGAGAAACAGAGAACAAGTGGGAGAGGGGCCGAAAGAGAGAGGGAGACACAAAATTCTAAGCAGGCCCTAGGCTTTGCGCAGTCAGCACAGAGCCCAACACGGGGCTCAACCAACAAGCCAGATCATGACCTGAACTAAGCACGAAGTTGGATGCTTAACCCATTGAGCAAAGCAGGCGCCCTTCTTCTTCCTTTTATTAATGTTTCATTAATTTGTTTTTGAGGGAGAGAGAGAAAATCCCAAGCAGGCTCTGTGCTCAATCTCATGAACCGTAATCAGGAGTTAGGACTTTTAACTGACTGAGCCACCCAAGGACCCCAAACTGTGTCTTCTGACAGGTCCTGGAATACTTCAAAAACCTTATGTAGTTATTAGCCAATACATATGTTAATTAAGTCCCCTAAAAAGGTATGGACATTTAGTACCAATAGTAAAGTGTAAACAATCCAAATATCCATCTACTCAGGAGTGGACATGCAAAATGTGATATAATCATACAATGGAACATTATTCAAAGAATAATGGAATGAAACCCAAAGAAATGAAATATATAGGCTGCAAGATGAATGAACCCTAAAAACATGCTAAGTGAAAGAAGCTAACTACAAAAACCATGAGCCCATTTATATGAACGGTTCAGAATAGGTAAACCCACAGAGAGCAAATAAGTGGTTGCTAAGGAGCTGGGGGGAGAGCAGAATGAGGGATTATTTTAATAGGTATGTCATCCTTTGTGGGTGATGAAAAGGTTTTAGAAAAGGTGACAGTTGATAACACTGTGAATGTCACTGAACTGTACACTATAAAATACAGTTTTACGTTACATGCATCACACTTCAATTTTAAAGACTATCTTTAAAAATAGTCTTGAAATGTCTGAGTACCCTTTAGGAATTTAATTTTGATAATAAAATTACTGATCTGGCATTATTGAGAATATAAAAAAGCAAATTCAGCTTGTAACTCAGAACATATTTTTATGCACTGACGAGTAAGAGGTAAGAAGATACATCAAAGGTACAGACATTAATAAAAGGGTAGACATTTTAGAACAAAGGCATTTCTGAAAAAGCTTTCATTATGTAGAGAAGAATTTCAGAAGCCAGAGGCTTCATAAAGCCTACCTCCATGAGTGTTTCCCTGAGATTTAACCTTTTTTCTATAAGTTGACCATGTTCCTTAAGAAAGGTGCAGAGAAACAAACTGAGATTCTGAATAAAGTTCTGTTCATCATCTTTTCCATTTGAGTACGCAAGTCGAATATTGGTATTTAAAGGTAGCATCTACAAGTTTAAATATGGACCATTAGTCTGAGCCTGTATTTTAAAACCCACAAAAGACATTATTTTTAAGCCCTAAAATTTGATCTCCTTGTTACTAATATTAAACCATAGACTTAAATAGATTATTCTTCACTAGAAACCTTTGGTTCTTTATAGTTGTTTTTGTGTTCTGGCTTCTGATTTTTAAAAATGCTACAAGAGATAAGATTTCTTTTCAATTTTTCCATTATCAGACTTTTCCTTCCTTAATGTTATTAGAAACAAAAATATTCAAGTAATTCATTCGTATTGTAAACACAAACTGTTATGTAGTATTAGGAGTAACATTCCGAATAATTTCCTACATACCTAATCAAGATTGTACTGGCCCATCTCTTTAGTTTAGAGACATAAGTTTTCAGAAGAAAAGCTAATACTTAAACCTCAGGTTTCCAAGTTTTTAAATTCTGTTTAAATACATTACTATGATACTCCCAGAATCTTTATTTCAAGGAATTTTCAAAATGTTCACTAAAACCTCTACCTAATCTTATTTTATATAATAAATACACAATCACATTATAGCAGATCTGTTATGATTGATTAGTTGTGACAAAGCAGTTCAACCCAACTTTTTCCAAAGCACTAAAATTATTTAGTCTGTTGTTAAGTGTTGTATTACCTGTTTTAGCTGCATCATTGTCAGTGTAAATAATGTTACAAATTGTTCCTCATATTGGCTTACACTTACACCAGCAATCTCAGTGAGGCACTTCAGAGAGACATTTCGAAACATTGGAACATTCAGGAACTATTTTAATAAACGAAGCATAAAATTAAATGGCCATTAATACTTTATTAACAATTAAAAAAATAAAGGTTTTAACAATTGAGAACACAAGAGGGAAAAAAAACAGGTAAATGGATAGATACATTTTGTTTGCACATATATTTTGAGGAAATTTCATTATACACCCAATAGACAGTAAAAGCTTCAGGAGCAAACTGTGCTTTATTTTGATAGGTCTTCAGACATCTAAAACACAAAGTTGCTTAGTGACTTTCCCACAATCTATTATATGCCTTAATTAAGGACATTATATTTTATGCATAGTCTAAGAAAGTCCCAGGATTTACTTAGGATTTTAAGAGATGGGCAGCACACCTAGGATTAACAAACGTGAGATAAAATTGGCATACCATTTGTGGATGGCAATTTGGTAAGCACCAAAACCTTAAAAAAGAAATAACAGACATGCCTATTGCCCTGATACATGTATAAAATTTTTGCAAAATAAATATTTAGAAAAGTAGATTAAGTGTCATTATTATTTAACAATGTTTCCTCTGCAGTACAACTGACAATAAGTTTTATATATAATTGTCTACCAATACAATGTCTCAAGTATTATAAATTCACATATTAGAACAGAGTATTACCTCAATGAACTAAACTATAAAGCCTCAAATGTTAAGTTATAATAAGGCCTCAATTAGGCATACAAATTTATTCATCGTATCTGCCAAGAAAACATCTGGAAAAATAATACACCAATTGGTACCCAGTCATCTCTGGATGAACAATTATTAAGACCTCATATAGGCTACTAGGCATTACACACTATTGGTTTAAAAAAAAAAAACAAAATGGAAAAAACCCAGACTTTGTTTTATAGAAATGTCCCTTGATTTACCTTATTGTGACCTATACAATCAACTAAAATCAAATCAAATCTGTTAAACAGTGGTTCACATGGATTTCTAAGATTTCTGACACCATTTCAAAGAATTACCAGCTGCAACTAATGAAAAATTCTCCTGAGCAGTTTTCTCATCTTAGAAATAACACTAGTTATACCTATAAATGCAAAATGGTTTTTCTATAGCACAGAGCATTACAAATTATGAACATATGCCAACTAGACAGTGATAAAGAACTGAAATGTATTCACTATACCTTATAAATTAATGTGCTGATTAACTTGGTCTCAAAAATATATCCCAGTGGAATCCAATTAAGAAATCTGAGCAATGTTTCCAAAGTTGCATGTACAAGTGGAGCATTTTGGGAATTTTCCTATTAATGAAAACATACCTGGTAAATAATCCTCTTCCTATAATTAACTGTTACTTAAAAAATGAAATCAAAAGCACTTACCATCACAAACTGACACAGCTGGAAAATTTGCGAGAATTCATTGCACATGCTAAAAGAAAAAAGTAAACTGTTTAGAAGACACAAATACTGTAATTATTTACATAGTAAGAAAATTACTAAAAATGTCACCAATCTGGTCGCTAAAAATTTGAGTCACTTCTATTTAAACAAAAATATCAATAGCTTCATCAAAAGCTACAAAAGTTACTAAAACTACATGTAGTATAACTCTTTCAAAGCTTACCCATAAAGAATACTATAAAGAGCACATAATTTGATTTTGTGGAGATTTTTGTCTTCCTCTAATGTGAGTAATTTCAATCCACCTGGTCTTTTTAGTGATTTTTTATTTTTAAAAAATTGTTTATTTTGAGGAGTGGGGGAGGGAATGCGAGGGGCCAGTGAGAGAGAGAGAGGGAGAGAGAATCCCAAGCAGGTTCTGTACTGTCAGCAACAAGAGGCTGACACAGGGCTCAGTCCCATGAACCATGAAACCATGATCTGAGCTGAAAACAAAGAATTGGGTGCTTAACCAACTGAGCCACCCAGGCGCCCCTAAGATTTTATTTAAGTAATCTGTATACCCAACGTGAGATGTGAACTTACAACCCTAAGATCAAGAAGAGTCGCATGCTCTACTGACTGACCCAGCCAAGCACCCAAAATCAATCTGTCTTTTAAATCAAGATAGTTGAAACAAAACTCTGCAAAATAAGAGGGGTGGCATTATATATATGTATCCTAAATCCTAAAATATGCTTATACACCAAAACAGAGACAAACTTGTGAAGTCTGAAGCTAGTTTGAATATATAAATGTGAAATACTGCTGTGCCCTACCGACGAGAACAATTTTTATCACTAAGTGAAAAAATAAAGTGGCCTGCTTCCCAGGACACAGGACTGGTAACAATTCAGTTGACATTTGGACCCAAGTCATTTCCTTGAATTATATTTAGTCACCATATAAAAACAGATCCCAAAGGTTTCTAGAAACTCCACACCTATACTCCTTTTGCATGAGATGTATGAAGTTATTTTGCTGGGACAATGAAGTATGACATCCTATCTTTATCATCACACATAACTTTTCAAGGCTCCAGATTTAGAATTATTAGGTCCACTCTAGGACTATTTAAATTTGTACACAAAAACAATTAAAAGTAATTTAACATATTTACAATCTCAAAAATTTATAATCTACCTCCAAATTCCTGGACATCCTTTCAGAAAAGCTTAAATTCTAAAGCAAAATAATTACTTGCCTGTCTTTTAAATGCTTAGCTTTCACTTGAGTTATTTGTCCACTAGAGAAATCAAATACTTCTTCACTCAAGAGTTTAAGAATCACCATATTATTCTGACAGAGACTTTCACTAGTCCTACTTGCTCCAACAATGTCACTGATAAAAGTTGGCCAGTGTTTTGGCCATTCTTGTTTCAGTATCTGAAATAAGATAGGAAATGTTAATTTCATTTTACTTCTCAATGGCAGATAAAGCAAGAGTGAATAACAACCACTTTTCATTTTTTCCCCCTTGAAATGTGCCAGCCTCTATAGAATCAACTAGATAAAGTATAACATAAGATAAAATATAAAAGTATAAAACTTTATAAAGTATATATATATATAGAAAAAGTATAAAACTTTGTACACCTAACGTAGGGCATGAACTCATAACCCCAAGATCAAGAGATGCATGCTTGCGTGTTCCACCAACTGAGCCAGCCAAGTACCCTGGTCTAGTCGGTTCTAATACGCATGCATATCAATACAAGCTGGATACACACGTACTTACTATCCTAGTAGATATAAAGATCTAACTCTAAGCAGTAAAAACATGATGGGCAGAGAGGCTCATTTTCTCATATAAATTTGGAAGGCAGCATTATAATTGGGGATGGAATCATCTTTGACCAAAGTCTAATGAACTGTATTACATTTTAAAGTCTATACTATATATTATGCATACTAGGATTTTCCCAACCAGATATTCCATATAGTACCTGTTATTATAAGAGGTAACTAACTTCTTTGTACTTCTCTCCATCCCAAAGATAGGCTGACAACAAAAAGTCCCCAGGATAAAAGCGTAACTTAATGAAAACCCAAATGTTTTCATCACTTACTAAATGGAAAAATCTGTATTTTTTCCTCACATACCAATTAATGTTCTCAGGAAAACTTTTGCAATATTATAAAAAATATGTAAATACAAAATTCAAAAGTGAGATTATTACATAAGTTTGAAAAACAGACTAGGTGTAGAGATCGGTTTAAGGAATGTTGAATTCAAAAGCAATGATTTATGAATTAAAATGGAGACAGATGACATGGAAAAAAACGTATGCACAGGAACAGGCAAATGAAAAAACTGTAATGGGTCTGATCCATACTGGAGCCATAGAAGTGATAAACTTACAGTATATAAAGTTTTCAACCATAGCAAAATTATAATTTCAAATGCGAAAACGGTAGATTATAGTTATTGTAAAAACTATTATTACTTTAAGATGTTAGTCTAGCTATTTGACAAAGTAGGTTTGAATATTTTGTTCCAGTAATCAGCCTAACTGAAGCATTAATTATTCTATGGAAAACAGTAAATCAAGTAAAAGCTTACCTGAACAAGAATCATATTTAATTTTCCAATATACACCTTTTCCTTCTAAGAAAAGAAAAAAGTTTAGATTAAATGAATGTCTAAAATAAGAAATAGTAAGAACACAAGCAAAGGAATTCCTCTGAAAAAAATGAATGAAGATCTACTGTAAATGATTGTACATATATGTTTGTATGTCTGTGACAGGAGTAGATTTAAGCTGAAGATTCATTATTTAAATGATTTTAAATTCTCACACTAATTTCCAAAAATGGTCTTACCTCTACACAAGTTGGGTCAGATGACGTCTTGATAATGAGGCCAACAACGTATTTTTTAATTCCTATTAAAAAAAAAATATTCAACACTTTCATAGCACGCCAATAAATCATCAGTAACAAAAAACCGAGGAAGGGGAAGATAAAAGGTCAGATAATAAACCCCAATCCCATCAGAAATATTTACATTTTTGAATGATGCCCATCGTTTTTGTGTACTACCCTTTAAATTTTAACTTTTAACTTTACCACATGTATAGGTTTAACAACTACAGATTATATTCTAAGATATTCTTTAATGCTATATCAGTCAACATGTAATTACAAAAACAACCCCACCAGGGATTAATTTGTTGTTCATTTAAATAAACATAAACTTATTTTTATAAGGTTAAAACTACAAAACCCCTGAAAAGCATTCTAAGTAAGTTTACTGAAAATATATTTTTTTGAAAAAAAATTTTTAACATTTATTTTTGAGACAGAGAGAGACAGAGCATGAACAGGGGAGGGTCAGAGAGAGAGGGAGACACAGAATCTGAAACAGGCTCCAGGCTCTGAGATGTCAGCACAGAGCCTGACGTGGGGCTCGAACTCACTGACTCAAACTCATGGACCACGAGATCATGACCTGAGCTGAAGTTCGATGCTTAACCGACTGAGCCACCCAGGCGCCCCTATTGAAAATATTTCTAAATCAAGATTAGATGTTGTTTCCCTTTTCAAATTTAATTTAACATTAAGGTATTCCTAGAAACTTTTTATTTTGAGGAAAGTACACCTGAGCAGGAGAGGGGCAGAGAATCCCAAAGCAGGCTCCTCACTGTCTGCGCAGAGCCTGACATAGGGCTTGATTTCACCAACTGGGAGATCATGACCTGAGCTGAAATCAAAAGTTGGATACTTAACCGACTGAGCCACCCAGGCTCCTGAGGTGGAAATGACTTTAACTTGTCCCCTCCACTACAATACACAAGAATTAAGGAGAAAGCTTTGTTTATAATGTTATTTACTTAAGGATATCTTAATAGTACAACCTATTCTTTAAACAACAAAGACTTCTTGCCTGTGATTTTAATTCACATCATTCAAAATTTACAGAACATCTATTATAAGTTCCCTTCAGTTTCAAAATTACACAGTGCTCCTACATCAATACATCCAATGGGTTTGAGAGGTAGGACCCTTAAATAAACAAATTATGATTTCCTACCATATAAAAACTATTCTCACATTTAATTTAGGCTTTGGTACCAAACGATCATCATCTTTGACAGCTACCTGACCTTTGGAAATACAGTTCAAGAGCTTCTGGAACTATATTGCCCCAAGCTTTATGTAACAAATTTGGAACTCAGGGAGAGGGAATTTGCTAAGAAATTTACCCATAATATTAAGCAGGAAACACAGCTGACATGAAGGCAGTAAAATGTTGATCTGATTGTAAAATCATCTCAATACTTCATGTGCTGAAGTATTAAATTTATTCAATTTGTTCCTCCATTTTCTTTCATATTCCAAGCAACTAAACATTAAAATACACTAATTATGTAAATAATTTCCTTATTGTAAAAAAACTACTAGTCCAATAAAGTCACATGAGAGCTATTTATCAACTGAAAATGTAATGTTAAATGGTATCAATATTCACAGATTAAGAGACATTTAAAAAACTGTTTGGCAAGTGCCAAAAATTTAATTGTTATATACAATCTAATATAAACTATCTCATTTACGTTTTTTTTAATAAAAAAAGTTTTTTAACGTTTGTTCATTTTTGACACACACACACACACACACACACTCTCTCTCTCTCTCTCTCTCTGAACCAGGCTCCAGGCTCTGAGCTGTCAGCACAGCTGACACGGGGCTTGAACCCACAAACCATGAGATCATGACCTGAGCTGAAGTCGGGATTCTCAACCAACTGAGCCACCCAGGCACTCTTCATTTACATTTTTAAAAGCTAGTTCTACCCTAGGCAAAGACCACAATACTAAATGCTGCAGACAAAATCTATCAATTAGTGCTAAAAAAGAATGGGAAAACCTTTCAGAAAAAATAAGATACCAGTGTGATCTCAATTATCCCAAGATCGTTTAAGAAAAAAACCCAGTAATTTTGTTAAAAAAAACAGCAGGAACCACCATAACCAGATAATAAATGTTAGTAATAAACAAATGTACTAGCATTACATACCCTGTCTTGGTGGACTGAGGACACAACACCATTATTTTTAAAAAATTTTTATTGTTTTATTTATTTTTGAGAGAGAGCATGAGTGTGGAAGGGACAGAGAGAGAGAGAGAGGGAGCCACAGAATCCAAAGCAGACTCCAGGCTTTGAGCCAACATCTGATGCCCAACCGACTGAGCCACCCAGGCACCTGGGACATACAACACCATTATGACATTCTTACCAAAAAATCATGGAACCTCCATTTAACCCCGAGGAATTAAGACAAACCTAAACTGAAACACACTCTACAAAATAAATAAATGATCAAAACTCATCAAAAGTGTCAAAGATGTAATCAAGCAAGGATTAAGAACCATCACACATAAGAACACTAAAAAAACACACTAAGCTGTAGAACAGAAAAAGGCCTTTAGAAAAAACACGTGAAATTTAAATGGGCATGTTTCAGTTAATAGTACCGAACCAATGTTCTTTTCATGGTTTTGATAAAATTTTTTAATGTTTATTTTTGAGATAGAGACAACATTGAGCGGGGGAGGAGTGCACGGTGGTGGGGGGCGGGGGACGACACAGAATCTGAAGCAACTTCCAGCCTGAGCTGTCAGCAAAGAACCTGACACGGGGCTCGAACTCACAAACTGCAAGATCATGACCTGAGCTGAAGTCGGATGCTTAACCGACTGAGCCACCCACGCAGGCACCCCCCCCTACCCCCCGCTATGGTTCTGATAATTTTATTATGGTTGCAGAAGCTTGTTAGTATTAGAATAAACCAAAAGGTATT